TTGCTGAAATTAATAAAAAATATATTTTAAAAAGGTCTTGTTTAAAAAAAAAGAATTAAGTGGCTCCAAAGGGCTAATACCAATAAAGGGAATAAGTAGATAAATGGTACATATTTTACAGCATGAAATGTACTGGGGAGAAAAATAAAGCAGAAAAGGGGGGATGGAGAGGGTTGGTGTTGCGGGTTCTGTTACTTATTTCATAGCGTGGTCCGCTGACCACCTATGAAGGTGACATTTGAATAAAGGCCTGAAGGAGGTGAGGAAGGAACTGCAGAAAAGAGTTCTAGGCGAGGGGACACTCCGTGCAGAGATACGAGGGTGGAAGCATGCCTGGTCTGTGCAGGGCACAGTGAGAGGAACTTGTGGTTAGACGGAAGTGAACGAGGGGCAAGTGGGAGCAGAGGTGAGGTCAGAGAGGTGACAGGAGCCTTGGTGGCTATTGTGGTTATTGGGTGCCTCACTCTGACCCCCTCTCTCTGCTTCAGAGTTCGCCAGTCCAGGAGACAACCACCACATCTGAGCTGCCTTCAGAGACTCAGGAGACCACAGGCCCCGCCCTATGCAGGTGACACCCCTCCCCTGTCCACCACTCACCACCGCTGCCCACTGTCCCTGTCCCCACCAGTGTCCTCTCTCCACAGCCCTCTCAGGAAGTCACCCCTGACCCTCGAGGACTTCAAGTTCCTGGCAGTGTTGGGCCGGGGTCACTTTGGGAAGGTGAGACGGTGGCAGGAAGTTGAAGAGCTGGGAGTCTACACCCTTGGGTCTCTGGACTGGTTGCTAAGGCCACCCCTGCCCACTGTGGTTACAGGTGCTGCTTTCTGAGTTCCGGCCCAGTGGGGAGCTGTTCGCCATCAAGGCTCTGAAGAAAGGGGACATTGTGGCCCGAGATGAGGTGGAGAGGTGGGGACCTTGCTCAGGCCGTCTGAGAACATCAGTCTTCCCTCCTGGGAAATGGGAGTCGGAGCAGTCCTTCCGCACACTTACTGAGCTAGTACTTAAGAAAATACGAACTCTTTTCTTAACATTTACTTATTTAC